TTGGGAAAATCTTGGGCTCAGATTCTATTGCTTGCAGCATATTGTTGGACATGGTTTGGAAATGCTGGGAACAAAAGTCAATTCCAGAAATTTGGAGACGTTCGTATGTCGTGCTGTTGCTCAAAAAAAGGAGTGCGGCTCTACCCGCAAACTACAGGCCTATCTCTTTGCTACCGGTTGGATGCAAAATCCTAGCTGCACTTCTACACCGACGCCTCGTTCAGGGGGGAGCAGAGCTTCGATTACGACAATCTCAGTATGGGTTCAGACCTGGGAAAGGAACCAGCGACGCGCTTATGTTAGTGAGGCGTATCATCGATGCGGCGCACTTGGACAACGACGGGGGGCTTTCTCTACTCATGCTTGATTGGGCAAAAGCATTTGACAGGAGTAAGCCGGATTGCATGTGTGACGCACTCCTCCGCTTCGGTGTTCCTCCCTGCATGGTTCAACTTATACGGTCCATATACGCAGCAAGATATTTCACCATCCTGGACCACACAGGTACGTCATCTGAAAGAACACAGCACGCTGGGATTGCGCAAGGTTTCCCCCTGTCACCTTACTTATTTATCATCGTTCAAAGTGTGATGCTGCATGATGTATTTCGCACTGTTGATCTCCAAGCAGAGCCGGCATTCATAGTGACGCGCGAAATCGTCTACGCTGATGACACGTTGCTTCTTTCACGAAACGCTGAAAATTTGAACGGCCTGCTGGCGGCAATCGTTGCTGAGGAGAGAAGTACGGACTGGAGTTAAGCTGGGAGAAAACAGTTCAAAATAATATCTCAACAGACAGCAGGATTTCCAGGCCGACTGGCGAGCCGATCAAGTCAGTCCGCGAAGCCGTCTATCTTGGCGGGCTTATCACTTGCGACGGAAAGAAGCGACGACCGAGGTGACCCTGCGATTGGGGAAAGCGACTAAAACTTTCAAGCTGCTGGACTGGATCTGGGCGCACGCGTCAATCGGGAAACAACGTAAACACACAATATATTCAAGTTGCGTGCTCAGCAAGCTCATGTACTCCTTGGACTCTGTATGGCCCTTAAAAACAGACAGGTCGAGATTGGACAGCTTCCACTGCAAATGCCTGCGGCGAATGTTGGGTATTCCCCACTCTTTTGTTTCTCGTGTTCGCAACAGCGACGTGTTGCAGCGAGCGTCGTCGACACCGTTATCTGAAATCCCACCAGCCCTCTGGGCGTAGGTGGTCTAGAGCAGATCCTCTTCCACCCCTCCCTCTTCCCCCTTGGGGAGGGGTTTACCCCTCCCCCTACCCCCTCCCCTGGACCTGGACGGGGGGGGCCGCGGGTAGTTAGAGCGTCCCAGATGGCCCAAGACGGCTCCAAGAGCGCCTCAGAGAACCCAAGATGAGCTCCAAGATGGCTCAAGATAGCGCAAGATCGCTCGAGATGGCTCCTAAGATGGTTCCAAGAAGCCCAAAGACGGCCCCAAGATAACTCCAAGTGGCCAAACAGCTCCCCAAGGAGGCCCCGAAGAGGCCAAAATCGTCCCAAAACCTAAGGAAAATCAATGATTTTTGCTTTCTCGCCTTTTCGCTTCCGATGGCCATCCGAGGCCTGGAGATGGTTCCAAGATGGCCCAAGAGGGCCCCAAGAGAGCCCCAAAAGAGCCCCAAGACGGCCCCAAGAGCGCCCAAGAGCACTCCAAGAGCGTTCCAAGAGGGGTCCAAGAGGCGATTTTAGGGGCTTCCGAGGGGGGGCGCTAATTAAACCCCCCCTCTTGTTTGATCGATCTCCTCCAAGATGGCCCCAAGAAGCGCCCAGGAAGCCCCAAGAGGTCCCAAGATGGCCCCAAAATGGCCCCAAGAGGCCCCCAAGAGGCCCCCCGGAGGCCCCCAAGAGACCCCCAAGAGGCCCCAAGAGCCCCCCCAGATGCACCCAAGATGCTCCAAGAGGCCTCGGCGAGAATGCCTAATCATTGATTCTACACAGGTTTTAGCCACATGGAGGCCTCTTGGGGGGGGGCACGGATTAAGATGACTCCAAGAGCGTCTGGGAGAGCCCAAAATGACCTCCAAGATGGCTCAAGATATCCCAAGATGTCTCATAATGGCTTCCTCTGTGTGCTGCCCACTTCTCTGATCGAGGCAATTCCTCTGGGCATCGTTTCTGGATGGGCTGGTGGGGATTCGCGAAGCGACAACAATTCTGAAGGGACGCCAGATAGCTCTGTACAGTCGAATCGCCAGCTCCCCAGACCCATCCCTGATCAAAGACATCTTGTGCGATGCGGACGGCATTCCCGAAAACTGGGCCCGCCGCCGGAAACGAGGGCGCCCGCGACAACAGTGGGCGACTTCGGTGTATGCTTTGTCTTGTTTGTGACTCCACTTCGCCCGCTCCTCGTTCCCCTCCCGCTCCTCTTTTGTCTCCTGCTTCACAGTCATGATGCGCAACCCGTTTTTCTGCTTCACAGTCGAACGGGTGTACTTTAGATTTCCACGAAGAGCTGCCAATCGTGCATTATTCTGCCCACGCGTCCTTCCGGATGCTCGGCTCAGCCTGCCTGCCCTCTCACTGGGCCTGGACGGGGGTGGGCCCAGGGGGGTGGAGCGCCCAAGACGGCCCACGATGGCTTGAAGAGCGCCCCCGAGAGCCCAAGATGGCCTCCAAGATAGCTCCTGATTCGAGATGACGTACAGCATACCTCCAAGTTGCCCCAAGACGGCTTCAAGTGCGCTCCGAGATTTCAAAGGTTCTTTGCAAGAGGCCAAAATCCTTCAAACACGGCAGGAAATCCATAGTCGTTTGCATTCTCGCCCTTTCGCATCCGATGGGCTTCTGAGACATCAAGATGGTACCAAGATGGCCCAAGAGAGCCCCAAGAGGGGGTCCAAGAAGGCCCCAAGACGGCCCCAAAGGCGCCCGAGAGGCGCCCAAGAGCGCCCCAAGAGAGACCCAAGAGGCGGTTTCGAGAGTGCTGACGGGGGGGGACGCTGATTTCCGCCGCCCCCTTTTTTTATATAGAAAAGCAATTCGGCCCGAGATGGCCCGACGAAGGCGCCACGATCCCCCCCCTCAAAAAAAGTGCCTCACGAGGGCCAAAGCAGCTTTCAAAATTGTTCCATGACCGCTTCCTCGCCATCGCTCGAACGCCCATTCCCCGTGCATGTTTCGCATTTTCGCAAGATGACCCCAAATGCTCCTCGATGGTCCTTGCCGAAAAAAAAAAGGTTTCTCCAAAAGGCTCCAGGAGCGAAAGGTCCGCGAAGGCTTTTTTAATGATTCGTCTCGGGGCGTCCTGGGGGCCTCTGGCGCCTGTCCCCGGACACTTTGGGCATCCATGCCCAATTTGTCCAGCGGGGGCCGTATCCTTCTTTCCGCAAACTCGTTTTTCTCCTCCGCCCTTCCTCATTCGACTGAGCCTCGAAGTCTGCTCAGACTGATCCAAAACTTCGCCTTGATGATTTCCCTAAACGTTTCATTCCACTGAATGCTCCCCCACTTCCTCGATCAAGGCAACTCGCATGGGCATCGTTTCAGGACGCGCTGAGGGGATATTTTTGGCACGCAAGCGCACGATGCGAGTCGGACGCTGGGCAAGCAGGGGCAGTCTATGCCACCTGCAGCTGAGGGGGATACTCTTTGGTTAGCAGCCTCGTGAAGCGGGTCAAAAGGCGTCGAAACTCTAGCCGGGCCACGAGTAGGCAGCAGCAGAGCGGAAAGCGGAAAAGCAAGACAGGCGCAGAGAGGGGCCAGCGAAGCGAGCGCGCGGGCTACCACTCAGAACTGCACCAGGAGCGGCACTCCCACCCCGGTGGCGTGGAAATCCCGGTCGCGGCCATCAAGTAGGCGCAGCCAAAATGGCGCGGCGGCGCGACCATGAACACGCAGAGGTCGATCACCCGTTGAATCGGCATAGGGCCCGAAGAAAACGAGCAGGTCCGACAGGCACTTCAGGGCGACACCCGTGCCGTAAGTGACACGACAGCATCGTGTCGGCGCTGGAATGAAGAGGAGGCAGCCTCGTCACAGCAGGACTGCAAACGGCAGATCCTCTGGTATGTACACCCGGTGGCACAGGTCGAAAGCGAAGTCCATGAAGGAGATAGCAGCCGACGGGCGCCCAGAGCCACACATGCCGAAATCCTTGCACCGAAAAGGACGGCACCGTAGCAAGTCCCCACGGAACCCAAGCGGTCACCAGTGGAGGCTGACATTAAGCAGGAGCAGGCCAGGGGCCACCTGGCCGCCCATCCCCGGTGTGGTCGTGCATGGAATTCGAAGCGAGACCTCACGGAACCCTCCCGGTCGCTAGCGGAGGCAGACACCAGACAGGAGCAGGTCAGGGGCCACCTGACCGTCCGTTCCCAGTGTGAACCATGCAAGGAATTCAAGCTGTCAGAGCACCAACGGACAGCAGTATTGGCGGCGACCCCAGCCGCGTGGGATAAACCCGGTGAAACGAGGGAGATGAAGGAACCCGTTGTAGCAGCTAATCGCTGCGGCAATAGGAAGCATGAGACACGAGCATCGGAACCCACTGAACACTTTCGGCCATCAGCAGGGGGGGAGGAGTGGCGCGGGCTGAGGGGGATACGCGAAGCGTCAAGATTGACAGCACTCTGTCGCTATATTTTCGATCCTGAGCCGCATCTACATCGCAGAGCCGGGGGGGGGCTGGGAATGGGCATGCACTCCCTTGACAAAGACCTTGTTCCGATCTGTGCCCGCCGCGATCGCCGCGGCGACCTCGGAAAAACCGAACCGGCTGGATATCACGCAACGACTTGGGGTGCACGGCCGAGGGGGGAACCGGCGTGGGGGCAGAAGCGTCGGCCAGGAATTGGCGATACGTTGCCGACAGATCGGCGATAGGCTATAGGCCCCCGACAGCGAAACCGCACGTTCCCGGGGTGGAGCGATCGGGCCCCTATCGGCGATCAGAGGGCGACTGGTGGTCGACGCCTCCCCCCCTGAGCTTATCGCCCCCCCCCGCCGTTGCCCCTGTTTCTTCCTCCGCCCCGTCGCCCTACCCGGCTCGGCAGGGGCGCGTGCGACGGGCGAGCTCCTGAGGCGCGTCGAAGACCAGCGCCACGTCCACGTCGATGGAGTGGCTGCCCCGCACGCCGCCCATGACGTCGGCCCCGAACACGTCGGGCCAGTTGTCCTTCACGTACACGGTCGAGCCGAAGATCAGCTGCTCCGTATCCAGCGCCAGCAGCGGCGCCCTCCCCGCGCCCCGGGACGCCTCGGCGTGGCGGATGAGGTAGCGCCAGAGCTCGTACTGGTCGTAGGCGTGCAGGAACCAGTGGCCCACGACGTTGCTGTATCTTCGGGGAAGAAAAACTGCATAAACATAGCACTTTCCGTGGTCCGCACGAATTTCTTGGGTCGGCGCTGGACCCCCTGGCGGCGGATCTGGCGCCGCCCCTGGCGCGCTCCGCGCGCCATGGAGGGGGGTCGAGCGCCGACGCCGCGCGGACCTCCAACTATTTATGTTAATGCCATTGTTTCTCTTCGAGCTCCTCATCAGGAGCCCCGGGTCGTTCGCGACCATGTTTTCGCGCACATCGTTGTAGATGCGCCGCAGCGCCCAGCCTCTCCCGATGATCCCCCCCGCGTTCAGGAAGCGCGACGGCGCAGAGGAGTTGGCGGCGCCCATCTCAGCAAGAATCTCAATGGCCTCGTCGGCTAGGGGTGCCACCTCTCGCGGGAAGATGTTCTCCTCCGCGGAGATCACCACGGGTCGCCCAAACGAGAAGTACCGCCTCAACAGCTCGTGCCCATCGATGCCGTTGGGGAAAACATCAAACGCGTCGACGAACGCAACGATGTCGGCGTCGTCCACCGTCTGCAGGAAGCTCCAGTAGCCGATGAGCTTGTCCATAGTGCCCTTCCACTCGCCATCCTGGCTCAGGACTCTCAGCGGCAGGGGACCCGATGCCTGGAGAACGCCCAAGTTCTCGTGCGCCTTGTTGGCGTACACCACCAGCTGGACGCTGTTGACGCGGTCGTGGTAGCGGGCCCACTGGACGGCCTCCAGCACCTCCTCGTCCAGCAGCTCGGCCGCCGCGGCCGTGCCGTTGAGAGCTTCGCGCAGCGCGGCGGCAAGCCGGTCCGCGGCAGCCGCGATCCGGCGGCTCGTCGAGGGGTGGCCCGGCCGCGCCCCGCGAGGAGCGCTGATCTGCACGGGCTGCGCAAAGGCCGCGGCCGCGGCGGCGCACGCCTGGCCCGGCCACAGGTGCACGGCGGCCCACGGCGCCTCGGCGGCGCGGAGGAGGAGGAGGAGAAGGAGGAGGAGGAGGTGGAGGAGGAGGAGAAGGAGGAGGAGGAGGAGGAGGAGGAAGAAGGGGCGACGAGGGGGCCGCCGCCCCGAGAAGGCCAGGAGGGCCACTCGGAGGGGACGGGGGGGGGGTCCCCAGGATCGGCGGCGGGCGAGGGGGGAAGTGAGAAGGGGGGGGAAGTGGGGGGGAGACAGAAGCACAGAACATATGGGAACATATGGGAGATATCTTCATTTGTGTGTATTTCTTTGTGTGTCCTGAGGCCCCTTCAAAAACGCTTTTCACGGAGAAAAAAAAACGACGAATTGCATAAGTAAGATGCAGCGCGCGGGCTGCGTGGGGGGAGTGAGAAGGAGACGGCCCTCTCGGAAGGCGGCGGGATTTCTCGGAAGGCCAGGGGCCTTCCGAACCTTCGGAGGAGGCCCGCCCCTTCTTACGGCCCATCCCCCCAAGCTCGCCGCCACCCAACTCCAGATCCGCTCAGGCTCGGTCCCGAGGCCCCTCCCGGCCTGCTTTCTCCGAACCGAGGCCGTCCATGTGGGCGACGAGGGCCCCCCAAGTGGGGGCACCAGAAGGACCGACCCCGCTGGTCCCCGGGCCTCTCCTGTGGTGCGCTCTGACCAGAATTTCGGGGCGATGCCAGCGGTGGCGACGAGGGCCTCCCCGGAGGCCCAGAAATGCGAAAACGGGGCAGCAGCAGCGGTATGGGCACCACTGCGTGACCCAGCCCTCCGCACCGCGCCCCGCGGTGTCAGCTCCGCGCCCTCGCGGAGGGCCGCCTTGGCGAAGGGCGGCCCTCCGGCCCCCGGGCCGCGACGCCCGACGCGCGATCGCCTTCGCACTCCCGGGGGTGACCCGACCCAGATGGCAACGCGAATCGGCTGCGGGCAGGAGGCGGCCCTGGGCAGGAGTGACTGCGGTGCGCGGCTCCGGGGGGCGCGGGGGGGCCGAATCCGAGCGCGTAGGCCCCAGCTGCGGGGACCCCATAGGGCCCCCTTTGGGGGCCCTCACCAAACGTCACTCTGGTGACGGGTCACCCTTACGCGTGGCTGGTGAAGGTCCTCCCTCCTCGATGCGCTCACGGGCAGCAAGCTGCGCCAGCCCGCAGGAGCACCGAGAATCAGCACCCTGCAGCCTCAAGCAGCAACATGAACAGCGAAGGCCTCCACCCCCATGAAAGGCAACGTTAGGGGGGGCGGCTGAGGAGGCAAAACGTCGACCTGGAATCGTCGATACATCGCCGATACACACATATATATATATATACATATATATACATATATATATATATATATATCCTTTACACCAAGACCAGAACAAGTGGAATCGTATGAAGATGCTGCCTTGGGAGCATCGCCTGCCCAAAAACTGGGGCCGACCGAGTCAGACAAGTAATAGTTGTCAAAAACGCGAGGGCCCACAACCCAGAAGGAAGCGGCGGAGGAGTGGAGGCAGGTGGACCCTGAAAAACTTGAGCCGTAAGTTTACGGATCAGAGCATGTCGTATGAGAAGCCATCGTTAGCTTCACAACCCTTTGGCCCCGAAGCGTTTCAGACGAGAGACGGCCCAGGCTCCAGGAGTACCCCATTCTTAAAGCACTCCTTTACGCCAAGACCAGAACAACTGGAATCGTATGAAGATGCTGCCTTGGGAGCATCGCCTGCCCAAAGACGGGGGCCGACCGAGTCAGACAAGTAATAGTTGTCAAAAAACGCGAGGGCCCACAACCCGTCCCCAGCACCAGAGAGCTGTTCTAGTGGGGGAGAGGAGGGAGGGAGGCGACGACAGAGGAGGAGATAGCGTTACAAAGACACGTGGGATATGGTTCTGCTCGCCGGGTCCAGAACACCCCTGAGGCATCCTTGCCTTCCAGGGCTTGGTGGCGGTGGCCAGTACGCCGACAAACTCTTCCTGTGCAACGGCGCTCCCACGATTCCATTCCTCGGAGCGTGCCGAGGAAACGAGTACATTTCCTACAAGGCATTCCATACATACAGTAATCTAAAACAACGGACGACGCGCTCTTTTCAAGGAGTCGTATCTCACTCAAAAGCCACAGACGAGACGTGCGAGGGTTCTCCATCACCCAGGGGCCACAGTGCTTAGTACACTCACGTGCGAGACTACACACAACGCGCACTAATCTGTTAGCAGTCTGTACGCGTGCATTCTGCTTAGCATCAAGCTCGGGGAGGCCGTGTAAATTAGTGTTAGAACGGAGGGGGCGCGGCCCATTCGGCCGATCCGTGGCCCGGGAAAACGTGTTACAAGGAACGCCGAACCACATGAAACAGAAGGGGCCAGACCGATTTTTTCACGCAGGTGCCTCACTACCTCCGGCCGCAGGAGATCGCCACCGGGTCCGTCGGCGACGTCGAAGGCCTCGGTGGGAATACCAGCCCTCGCATGTGCGCGCGCCAACTGCCCAGATCCTGAGAAGATCTCGACGGCCCATCTCCGTTTTAGGAACGGGGCGGTCGCAGCAGTCGGCGCGGCTGTCCACGGGGAGCACCCTCGATGGAGGATTCGGCAGCCGCGGCGGAGACCATGAGGCTTCTGGGACTGCTGGCCAGAGCTTTTTGCATCGCACTGCGCCTCACGGATCTTCTCACTCACAAGAGGGTGGCCCTCCTGCCGCGATCCACGATGTCTGGAACCAGTCGGTGAGCGGAGCGAGCACGTCGACGGAGGTCGCTGTGGCGAAACTGGCAGCTGGTGAGGTTCCAGTTCGCGAGCCAGAGGTCGAGGAGGGTCGGGTCGAGGAACCTCCTGCCACCCCTGGGCGTTGTCACGAACAGTGGCTCGTGCGGGGAGCGCTGGTCCCTCAGCAGCGGCAACGCCTGGGCCGTCGGGAAGAGCCAATCCGCCAGCGTGACTACATCGTCCAGCGCGCTTATCTTGGCGGGGATACTGGGGCTCGAGGAGTCGAGGATGAGCACGACGCGTGCGTGGCTGCGGCGCCGGCCCACAGGCGGGGCGAGGTCCCCGGCCCGGAGCCGCGCCGCCTCTCCAGCGCGCAGGTGCGCCTCGTGCATCACCAGCCTCCCCTGGGCACTCTCGAGCCCCCCGCGCCCGGTCACCGCCCCCGCGACCGCGGCCTCCCACGCGCGCGGCAGCTGGGAGTGGCGGGCGACCGGAGCTGCCTGCCACCCATCCAAGTACAGGAAGTTCGTCCGCTGCACCAGAGCCTCGCCCACGACCTCGTCCGCGCTGAAGTCGGAGCCGTGGGCGGCCACGAAGTCCGAGAACTCCCCGCATAGCTGGAGGTAGCGGGGGATCGACTGCCTTCCGATCGACTTCATCTCGAGGGGGCTCACCAAGATCTCTCTCAGCTCGAGCTCCTCCTGGAGTTGGCGACCCCCTGCCGCAGCGGGGCGGCTGCTGGCGGGCCCCAGTAGGCGACCAGCAGATGCCTCGCCATGGGACCGCCCGAGTCGGCTCGGGGGGAGCAGCCGCTTCATCCACCGTGAACTCCGCAGCTAGTGGGCCAGCGCCCGTCCCTCGATGAAGCTTACGACGGGCAAGCCCACGCTCGCGGCTGCGGCGAGCATCTGCGAGGTAGCGGCGGGAGGCGGCGTCGGCGACGTTGATCTCTGAGGGAATCCATCGCCAGCGAACCGTCATATCCATGGCGACGGTGAGGGCTGCATTTTTCCTGCACAACATCAGTAGGCCGAAATTGTCAGCTCGCCCCTTGGACATAGCGAGGATCATCCCAAAGTTGTCACCTATGTTGAGATGCCGCATGCCGCGGTTGGCCACCGACCGACAGGCGCGCCGCGCAGAGATCAGCCCCGCGCAGCCCTCCAGCATCGCAATGCGCCCCTCATCCCTCCAGCGCCCGGCAACGCACTCCCGCCACTCGAAATCCTTGAAGATGGACGTCGGGACCTCTGGGAAGTCTTGCGCGGGTTGCCAGCGCCGTCTAAACCAGTCACGGGGGAGCACGGTCTCGACGTTGGAGAAGCACCCCATCGACAGGAGGAGCCGTCCGCAGGGCATGCTCACGCGGTCCCCCCGGTTGCTCATACTGAAAAGCATAACGCCAACGCTCGTCAGTCTTCCCGATTTCCGCGACCACCTCCTTTGGCAAGGCCGCGGACAGGATGCCACACCCCGCTGGACTGGCGTCGAATACCTCCACCTCGGAAGCCCAGGGCCGCCGCATGTTCGCCCTGGCGAAGGGCAGCATGGCAGCAGCCGCGCGGAGCTCCTCGGCAGCCGATCGCCAAAGCCGCCGCGGTCGGAGGTAGTTGCACTGCACAAAGGTGCAACAGCTGCGGAAAATCGAGAGCAACGGCCTGTGTCCCAAGAACTGGAAGGTAGCATGGCCCAAGAGCCGCTCCAACTGGCGACCACTGAGCCAGGGTCGCTGGCGGCTCAAGCGGCGGCAGACCTGGCGAAGCCGCCAGGCCTTGGTGGGGCTAGGGCGATGCTCGCCCGTCAACCCGTCGATCGCGAACCCCAAGGACTCGGCCCAGCGCCGCGCAGCTTCCTCCTCATGGACCTCGAAACCGAGCGAGGTGAGCCTCCGCTTGCAGTCCTCGCGGAGGGCATCGGCGCGAGCTTTGGAGGACGCAGCCGCCACGAAGTTGTCGCAGCGCGGCAGCGCCAGCTCGGGGCCCGCCCGGAAAGGGGGCGGAGGGGCGCGATCCTGCATGACCGCGCCCGGCGTCCAGTCCCTGATCTGGCTGACATGGTGCGCGTGCAGGACTTGCGCGAAGAAGAAGATCCAACCCATCGGCATTACCCATCGCGGGCGCTACGGCGTCGGCGCTCAAGAGGAACCCAAAGGCGGGATCACCATTGGTAATCGACTTCAACTCTTCACCAGTAATGTCAGGCAGGCAGAGGAAGTTCTCGCGCCCTGGCGGCAGCCCGCACGCGTAAAAACTACTCCTTCACGTTACTTAGAGAGAGATACATATCAGTGTCCGTGTCCATCACGACGTCGGCCCAGGACGACCCCGAGCCCATCGGAACGTGCGGGCGCTCTCGGAAACGGGCATCGACACGCCTGCAATCAACGACGAAGCGATGTTTGCCCGACTTCTTCCGCACAAAGAATACCGACATCCTGCCTCGAACCTGGTCGTCCCGTCGCCGAGCGAGAAGCCCACCTCTGAACGGGTCCCCAATGAAGTTGAGATAGCTGCGTCGACTGAAGCGAAGCCGAGGGTCCATGTAGGACCCAATGTGCTCGAGACCCCGCTCCATTTCCGCCCCCCACTGGTTGTCGTCCTTGAGCAGGTGGGTGTCAAAATCTACGATCATCTTCGCGGCACCTGGCGGCTGCACCTCGGTCAGCGGGACGGGGGCCCGCCCTTCACCAGGGATCGACACCAGAGCACGGTCGTAGGGAACCACCGTCAAATCATCGTCCCCAGAGTAAGGGGCTCCACTCCCGAGAAGCGCACGCATGGCTTCCTCGTCAGAGGCCACCTCCGATGGCGGCCGAAAAGAGTTGAGGGTGTCGTACAGGTGGTCGACCGCGGCGCGCTGCCCCAGCGACGAAAACTTCGTGTTGGTCGCAGAAGAACCCGCGAGCCAGTTGAGGGCCCAGATGCTCTCATTCACCTCATCCGTGAGTCGACGCCGAACCTGGACACGTTGCCGAACACCCCGAGAGAGATGAGCGCCTGCAGCGGGTTCCTGAGGCACGTAGGGTAGAGGGAGAAGCTCTCGCGGGACGCCACGCTCTTCGGCGCAGACCCCAGCAAGAAAACCCAGCTGAGACGCCAGGAGTGCCCTGGATCTCGGCCCCCCCCTCGGGCGGTGGGGGGGGGGGGCCGCGCGCGTCTGTCATGGGGAATATCCGCCCTGGCCCTCTCTCTCGGGGCCCTTGGGCGGCATCCTCAAACGTAACTCCTCACTGTGCTTCCGAAACTCCTTCCAGACTGATGCCTTGTCGCAAGCCATCCCCACTACGTGCTTGACAAGAGTAAATGCGACCAAAACTTTGCCCCGTCCAGGTCCCCACCCCGTGATGAGGGCGGCCCCGGTGTAGTCGAGGCTGCCGGGCGAGTCGAGGTACGCCTGCCCCCTCAGCATGACGTGCCTCCCGAGCGCCTCACAAGGCCCCAAGATGGGGATGGTGAGCTGGTCGACCTCCCCCGCCACCTCGAGGACCTTCAAGCGGCAGAAAAGTCCAGGCACGGAGCGGTTGTCTCCCGTCTCAGGTTGACGAGCCCAGTTGTAGTGTCGCCAACTGGGACCCCCTCCACCACTGCGAGCAATCTGTTTTAGATACCAGAGCGAAAAGGGCTCCCCTCCCTGAGGCGAGCCCACCCGATCGTGATGCTGCCTCAGCTCGACGACCTCAACAAAACCACGACGGCGGACTCTGTTCCACCGCACCACCAGGAGGGTCATCGTGTCGGCGTCCTCTGCAATGACATCGGCGGAGACGGAGTAGCACTGCTCCACGATACTTGAAGCATCCACCGTCATCGTGTCAGCGTCCCCCCTCTTGACAAGAGTGAACTGCTGACCGTTAGCGCCAGGTGGACACTCGGCACCATGAGCGAGGGCCTGGTCGGACGAGTGTGAGGTCCTCCAAACCTGGGCCCCGGGCCAGGGCAGAGCGTCCTGCGATCCCTTCCCGCGCCCAGCGTCGAAAGCCAGCAGCAAGCCCTCGGCGGCAGACGTTGCCGATCATCCCGCCTTCAACGTCAGACAGACGCCATGCCAGCAGATCCCCTGACACGGAAAGGTCCCGAGGGTACACGTCGCCGTCGGCCGCCAAGAGAGAGACCACGAACACGCACACGCAACCGATCACCACGTTGCCGTAGAAAAAGAGACCACTGACGACGGCTGTCGCCATTTCCACGTACCACGACACTCCGCCCCGGACGTCCTCCGACAACTCCTCCGCCACAGGGAGCTGGCGCTCTTGCACAGTACGCCGCGACCAGAGCACCCCCAGCACCTCCGCGATGTCTGGACACAACTCCGGGCAGCTCGCGTTCCGTCAGAGCCCCTGTGCTCGGCCGACGCAGAGCGGCGCCCGAAGGATGCCTCCTGGCACGCACAATCAGACTCGCAGCGGCGAAAGGGTCAGCCACCCGGTGATGGCCGCAAGAGGGAGGCGTCGGGCACCCTGCGAAGGCATTGGACCCTGAAAAACTTGAGCCGTAAGTTTACGGATCAGAGCATGTCGTATGAAAAGCCATCGTTAGCTTCACAACCCTTTGGCCCCGAAGCGTTTCAGACGAGAGACGGCCCAGGCTCCAGGAGTACCCCATTCTTAAAGCACTATATGTGCACCTATATATCCTATAAATATATGTGTATATATATACATATATACATATATATATATATATATACATATATGTGTTATTTATTTTTTATATATATATATATATATATATATATATATATATATCGGCGCTGGAGCCCCGACAACGAATCCGCGCGCTCCTGGCTGGGTGGGATGTCGGGCCCGTATCTGCGATCAAGGGGCAGTGAGGGATCGATACATCACCCCCTGAGCCTGTCCCCGTCGCCGGCTGTTTTTGACCCATCACTCGGGCCTCCGGCGGCCCTTCGGGAGAACCCTGGCGCCCCCAGAGCGCGCCCGACGAGGCGCCGCGGAGGGAAGCCACCCCGGGCCTCGGAAACCTCGGACAGCTCCCGAAAACTGTGGCACACTTCCGCGACCGAGCCTGCCGCCCTCCAAGGTGCAGGAGGAGCGGCAGCGGGCGTCTGGCACGGCACACCTCCTCCTCCTCCTCCTCCTCCTCCTCCTCCTCCTCCTCCCTCCTCCTCCTCCTCCTCCAGCTCCTCCTCCTCCTCCTCCTCCTCCTCCCTCCTCCTCCTCCTCCTCCTTCTCCTCTTCCTCCTCTAAGGAGGGCCCCTGGCCCATGTGCATTTCGACCGAGGCCCGCGCCAGCCGCCGCCGCCCGCAGCGGGCCGCGCGGCCGCCCGTGCGCCCCCGCCCTCGGCCGCCGCGGGCGCCGCTCGCCATGGCGGCGGCCCCGCCGAGCGGCGCGGCGGCGCCGCCCGCCATGGGCCCCGTCGCCGCGGCAGCGCCGAGTGTTAACGGGCGAAGAACGGTATAACATACACTTTTTCGCTGTCGGAGGCGCCTGTCCCTGGGCGGCTGGAAAGTTTATACCCTTACCCTGGCACCGTAGGGGTATAACTTTCCAGCCGCCTCGGGGCAGGTGCCCCCGACGGCGAAAAAGTTTATGTTATACCGTTCTTCGCTCGCTGAGAGTGGTCGGCACGCGGCGCGGCCAGCGACAGTACCGATGGTCCTCAGGGCGTCACAGTCGGACCGAGGCATCAGGTCGAGGTCGGCTCGGGGGGGATGCCCTCGTGCTCCTCGTGCTTGTCGGATGTTCTGGAGCACCCTGGGGGAAGGTACCCTTGGATGTTCTGTCTGTTCTGGCAGACGGAGTCGCATGTTGTTGAAGGATGTGATTCTGGCCTAGGTCCGACACGAGAGGAACTAGCAGGATGGGGGGCAAGGAGCAGAAACCAAGTGGTAGAACCAGAAGGGCAGATCGGGTGGGCATCCCCATAGCGGGCAGGTCGGGAAGGCGGGCCTAGGCGACGAGGTCGAGTAGGCGGGTTGGTGTAGCGTGGGTCCTGCATGAGTCGCGAGGAAGTCTCGAGCGATAGCGCGATTCCTAAGTAAATCGTGAGAAAAGCCAGCGTGGGCCACGAAGGGCATAAAATCCGAGGCAAGAGAGGGCAGCGACGGGGCCGCTGAGGGCAGCACCAGGGCCACGAAGGGCAGCGAGGGGGCCACAAAGGGCGACAGCGGGGCCACGAAGGGCATGCATATGGGGCCACGGCGGGCGCGAGCGAGCGGGGGCCACGAACGGCATTCGTATAGGGAGCCACAAAGGGCGACAGCGGGGCCACTGAGGGCACCAAAGGGGCCACGAAGGGACGGGCGCGTGCGAGCGGGGGCCACGAAGGGCATATAATGCGGAGCCACAGAAGGCAGCGACGGAGCCACTGAGGCCAGCAACGGGGCCACGAAGGGCAGCGAGCGAAGGCGACCGCAGAACCAGTACGGGCAGCGAGGGGCATCGAAGGCGGGCGAAGGGCAGCGAGCGGCGACTGCAGTCGTTCACGGGCTGGTCGGGCGGGCAGGCCCCGACGGGCGGGTCGAGCGGGCGGGTCGTTGAAGCGTGAGTCCTGCTTGAACCGCCAGGCGGTTATGCAGCGGGAGCGCGATTCCTGAGCATCGAGGACTGGCGTCTGAATAAATTGCGAGAGAAAATATCAAGCGAAGCGATTCGGTGGTAAGTTGCGAGGAAGTCCCAAGCGAGAACGCGATTCTGCAATAAATTGTTAAGAATATATAGCGGGAGCCGCGATTCGGTGGTAAATTGCCAGGAAGTCCAAATCAAGAGCGCGATGCTTCAATACATTGTGAGGAAGAGCCGTTGTTGTTGTAAACCGGGGGCCAGCGACACAGTTTGAGCCTCAAGACTTTGCCTGATTAAAAACAGGGTGCGAGCCCCGGGAAGGTCACTTCAATCGAAAAACTACACTGTGCACTGGGCGGGGGGATCAACAACATATATGTTTCAGAAATGAAAGCTCAACAACAACAGCAACAGCAACAGCAACAGCAACAGCAACAGCAACAACGACAACGACAACAACAACAACAACAACAACAACAACAACAACAACAACAACAACAACAACAACAACAACAACACTCATGTTAAGACAGTTCGCTCTTATCTGCTCTCGTGCCATTCAAAACGACAATCCCGACCCTTCGATACCCGCCCTCTTCGCCTTCGACCGTACTCCTTTGGGGGTAACCGTTCGTTCCTGCTACGTGTCCTACGTGCAGCCACTGAGGTAGGGGAAAAGAGGACGGATGAAGGGAAAAGAAAATGGGGAGGGAAAAGGATGGAGCACAAGAGACAGTAGCAGGAGAGGGGCTGGGAGCAGAAAACCCGTGGCAGAACCAGACGGGCAGATCGGGGTGGCAGACCCTAACAGGCGGGTGGGGACGGCGGGCCCAGGCGGCGGGGCCGAGCAGACGGGTTGCTCAAGCGTGCGTCCTAACCACGAAGAAATCTTAAGCGAGAGCGCGATTCCCAAATAAATCGTGGAGAAATCCATGGCGAAAGCGTGATTCCTGAGTGTCGAGGGCGCCCCGTCGCCGGCCCCAGGTGGGGGGGCCACAAGGCACCCGCGCGCGCCATGCACCAACCTTTTACCCAGCCCCGTGTGAGGTTACGGCGAGAGCTGCGTTGAGACTGTGGCCAGAGCTCCATTGTCGGGCACCCGCCCTCGTGGCCAGCGAGAGGGTCCTGATTCCGTGAAGGAGATGTAGTGGGAGCTGCAATGGGAGCTGTAGTGGGAGCTGTAGTGGGAGCAATAGTGGGAGCTGTAGTGGGAGCTGCAGTGGAGGCTGCAGTGGGAGCTGTGCTGGGAGGAGGACAAAGAGGATGTGGAGGAGGGCGACGACGCCGAAGCGGAGGCGGAGGAGGCTGCTGACTGGCGCGGTCGCAAGAGAGCGCCGCCGCGGTGGCACGGTGCGTCCCGACCCCTTGCCCTCCTCCTCCTCCTCCTCCTCCTCCTCCTCCTCCTCCTCCTCCTCCTCCTCCTCCTCCTCCTCCTCTCCCTCCTCCTCCTCCTCCTCCTCCGCCCCTCGCCTGGCCCCCTGCCCCTGGTGCCGGTCCCTGGCCCCTCGCCCGGCACGGTGCGCCCCGACGACCCCTTCCCTGGCCCGGTTTCGTGGCACCGCCGCAATCTGCTGAGATGCCGCGGGCGCCCAGCGCGTGCAGGCCCCTTCCGCGGCCCCGTGGGGGGGCAGCGCGTGGTCGCCGCCCGCGTGCGAAGCACTCCCCCGGCCCTTGGGGCCAGCCCGTGGTCGCCGAGTCGCTGTAACGACAACCTGGGCCCTCCTCCTCCTGCTCCTCCTCCTCCTGATCCTCCTCCTCCTCCTCCTCCTCCTCCTCCTCCTCCTCCTCCTCCTCCTCCTCCTCCTCCTCGGGTCAAAGGATGCTCCGAGCAAAACAACTTCAAAACAGCAACAAGTGCAGCAGCAACAATCCTTGCAAGACTGTTCGCTCTCATCTGCTCGCGTGTCATGACACACGTGTCCCAAACCCTCGATACCCGCCCCTTTTCGTCTTCGATCGTACCCCCCTTGGGGGTGTATCTTCCCTACCTGCCGCGCGCACTTGGCGCAGCCGCTAAAACAGGGGAAGGAAGGATGGAGGGAAGAGACAATGGGGAGGGAAAAGGATGGAGCACGAGAGACAGCAGCAGGAGAGGGGCCGGGAGCAGAAAACACATGAGAACCAGACGGGCAGATCGGGGGGGCAGACCCGAACAGGCAGGTCGGGGCGTGAGGACCAAACGGCCAGGTCGAGTGGGCGGGTCGCTGAAGCGTCGACCCATCATGAAGTAAGTTTTGAGCGATAGCGCGATTCCCAGGCAAATCGCCAGGAAATCCAAAG